TCTCATCTCTCAGTCTTTCTACTTACCACTGTCTACTTCATTATCAGTCTTTCTACTTACCACTGTCTACTTCATTATCAGTCTTTCTACTTACCACTGTCTACTTCATTATCAGTCTTTCTACATGATTCAAATCAATTCTAACATTTCTCATAAGATGCTCAGTCAGATATATATCTTCTTTTGAAAAACATAAGAACGCATTTGTTTGTTAACAGCTCAGCCATTAATTGTCGTTAGTGCTAACAGTAATAGTAATATTAATAATAATAATACTATTAGTATTACTACTAGTAGTACTAGTGATTGTAGTGATACTGTGCTAGTGTTGCTCAGGCTTTTGGATGAGATTAAGCAATAGAGCCGAGGGTAAGTATTATCAGTGAAAAAGGTATCTTGCTAAAATTTTAAAAAGAAAAACCTAAAATAAAAGCATTATGAGAATAAAATAACATACGAAACCCATTACAAACAATTATAACCTACACTGCTAACAGTTAGGCCTAAGTATTTTTTCTGTTACTTAAGATATTCACATTTATAGTTTAAACCCCGAAAGCTGGATATGTACTGGAATCAAAAACGCTTAATATTTGTGACAAAAGTCATTTTGACAGCAGATATCTTTCGGGTGAGAGAAAGAAACAACAACAAAAAAAAATCTGCAGCACAAGTGACATTTTTCACAATATTGGGTATTTGTTTACAACAGTTGCTTAGCGCCATCATTTGGCAAGGTAAGTTCTCGAAAGGTCGAGATTTAACGTGAATTGTTACGTTCCTCTATTATCTAATCACTCTAATGTACTCATGTCGTATTGTAATTTGTAGTCAAAACTCTGAAAAATTAAGGTAAATACGATGAGTTGCTCTTTTAAACTTAAACTCTGAAAACTGAAATAAAGATGACTGGAAACCTAATTTTTCCTAATAATTATTAAAACTTATAGAAGTACAAAGTAGCTTGATAACACAGGTAAGATTACCTGCATCAGTGCATGTTACGTGCGGTTTTCTTATGCCATGCATTTGATTTTAACAGCAAGTTCAATAATTAATTTGTCCCAGGATTTGTAATTATGAATCGTTTGATACTTGAATGTTTCTTACAGAAGTGTACATGCATTGTAAAGTCCTTATTTCCAAAAATACCACACTTCAACGCAACCATTTTTTTGAGTACTTAAAGTTAAAAGATGAATCGTTTACATCAAAATAAATGCACAAAGATACTTTGTTTTTCTCTCTAAAATTCATCGAAATATAAAAAGTGTAAACTAATAATGAAGCTAGTCTTTCCATGACAAGATTGATACGTCTCTGGAAACTGATTTTGGTGTAACATTATTAAATGCAGGGAGTTGTGGACTTCACAGAGTTCATGGTGCATGCAACAATGTGATGGTTGCTGTGATTGGAAACTGGATAAAATCTTGAAGGGAATGTATACGCTTTTCCATGATACTCCAGCAAGAAGAGAGAACTTTATTAGTGTAATGGGGACATCTACCTTTCTGCTTGAATTTTGCAAACAGAGATGGTAGGAAAATGCCAAAGTTGCTCACAGGGCCTTAGATCTACACGATCATCTCAGAACCTATGTGGAGAATGTCATAAAATCTACTGGTTCAGACCTCAAGACAGAAGGCTTTCAAACTGTAAAAGAAGCTATAATGAAAGATGTGTTTTTTCCAGAAAAGCTGGCATTCTTCATCTCAATATCTAAGCAGGCTGAGCCCTTCCTGACAGAATATCAAACGGACAAACCAATGTCACCCTTTGCCCACCACGATTTGAATACTATTACCATCAGCCTCTTAAAGGAGTTTGTAAACCCAGCTAAGATAGAAAAATCACAATATTGAAACATCTGGTGTCACTTAAAGTGACTGACTCATCAAACTGTGTCACAAATTACAAAGTTTCAACTGGCTTTGTGGCAGAGACAATGTCGAATAAACTAAAGAAGAACAAGAGAGTGAATGAACTTCAAGTTTAGGAGTTTAAGGATGCCTGCAAAGCCACTCTTGCTTTTTTTATTGATAAGTTCTTGACAAAGTCTCCCCTTCAATACTCCCTTGTTAAGGACATAGCATGCCTTGACCCTAATACTATTCTAGGAAGCAAGACACAAGCAGAAGCAAAATTAAAAGAATTCTGTGATTCGTTACTCAATGAATTCTCTTTATCTGTAGATTAAGCTGTGAGTAATGGGTCACTCAGCTCATTTTCAAGAAGTACTGATTACCTTGACTCATTTTTTTATGACTGACTTGTCACAAACAATCCTCCCATCTCTGGCAAACTGTGAAAACACTGCTTCTTACAGACAAGCAACAGTAGAAAGGTTTTCTCAATAAACAAAGTTGAAGAAGTGAACATGGATGAAAAGAACCCTCATTGCCCTTGACAGTGTGAGAGATGCAAGCGGAGTTAAAAAAGTGGAAATTGCATCCAAAATGCTTGTTAATGTTGGCAGTGCTTTCAGCAGATACAATACCTACCTTAGGGACCAGAAACATAAAGTAGAGGCAGAGAAATAAAAGAAAGAAGAGAAAAGATTTGGATGATGACATTAGTGATATGAAGAGAAAAAAGGCTATCATCAATAAAGACATTGAACCTATGACAACTTTAGCAGGTGAATATGCAAAGAAGACTGAAACACAGATGAAAATTTCTTTGATCACCACCTCCAATAGCCTTAGAAAAAGTGTGAGAGACAAAATTGAAGAACAGGCCACTCTTGGAAAGCAGTTGGATGAAAAACTGTAAAAGCTTAGCTATTCTTAATCTTCCAAACTAGAGCATTGTGTAAGAACTATATACAGTGTAAGTATGTGCAGTGTACAGCATACAAGGTTATTAATAGATACATGCTGTATATGAAGACTTGAACTGTATTTTTCAAATGCTGGCTAATGACGTTCTGTTGAACATATCTTCTACAGGTAACCCCAATATGTTTTATAATCAGATTAATCTGTGCCCTAATTATTTATGTATTATCTTGAAAATGACACTGAAATTTGCTACTGACACTGAATATCTTCTACTTTAGCATATGGCAAGCAACTGCTAACCCTAGTCTTTCCACCTCTTGATCATTACCTTCTGTATTTCAAGTAGCCAAAGGTTCAAATGTATTAAAATATAGTTACTTTAATGCTAACTGAACCTGCCTCTATAGTCCTTTTGTTTTCATTACTATACAATATAAACCATTGTAAACCTAGCATTCATCTTGTTCTCTCTGAAAGCAACTTTTAACTCTATCCCATTCCTGTTTTATTTCCTTGATTTCTTCTCCTAGTCTGATTTTTTTCCCTTTTTAATGGCACAATCTTTCTCAAAGCTATCTATAAGTTACCCTCAAGCAAACTCCATAAGGAAAATACTTTTTTCATTCTTTATCAGTTTTGAAATTAAACCGACTCGCAAGTAACTTAGAAGAAAATTTTGTTGTTGTTCATTTTTGTCCATGAAGTTTTTGGTTTATAACATATATTTCAAATATTTTTCTTTTCAGCTATACATAGCACACCCAGTTACTGGTTGCCAAAAGCTCATAGAAGAAGTAGATGATGAACATAAACTTTGCATTTTGTATGAAAAGCGAATAGGCCAAGAGGTGGATGCTGATGCCTTAGGTGATGAATGGAGGGTAGTGTATATATTTTGTTTTTGCAAAACTTGGTAAAACAGATGTTTAATGTTTTTGGAAAGTCCCCAAAATGTTTAGACTAATTTGTTTATTCTTCATACTAGACCATAGCTAGTACTGTGTATTTACTAAACATAGCTATGACACACCACTTTTTATATAATGTTGCTTTATTAAGGGCTTACCTATATAATCTTAGTAAGCCCATTTGACACAGATATAAAATACTTATTTTTATGCTAAGTATCATTTTAGACAAAATAGATGATAGTTTGAATTTTATCAGTCATCATCAACACTTTGTTGCATACAGAGTTTCTTTGTATCATTTTAACTTCAAAACATTTGGAGAGACTATTTTTTATAGATGTTTTGCTAATTGTAAAAATGGTGCCGTAGAATAAACTTAGAATGTTAAATAAATCTTTTAATTAAATAAAATATTGTAAGTTGTAAATAATATATTAATGTTATAATAGTAGTTGGAACTGTGGTTTAAAATGGAGTTTTTAAGATAATCCTTGTTTTATTTCATACACTTGTTTAGGGCTTTGTTGTGAGAAGAAGTGGAGGCAATGACAAACAAGGGTTCCCAATGAAACAAGGTGTGTTAACAGTTGAGCAGGTGAGGATCCTGTTGTCAAAAGGACACTCCTGCTACAGACCTAGTAGAACTGGAGAATGAAAGTGCATATCAGTGAGGGGGTGTATAGTTGATTCAAACCTGAGTGTGATTTCCTTTGTTCTTACTAGAAAATGTAAATTACATGACTTAAACTAGAGAAAAAAAATGCAGTTTCTTTGATACTTCAAGTTTTAGTAATACCTTTCTAACAGTCATTTTATTGTTGACTTAAAAATAGGATGGATAAAATTTACTGTATGTTCAAAAGGTAAACCATTCTTTCAACCACATGTTATGATTTTTTTTTCTTTCTGTTTTTAGTATAATTGACAGTATAATCAGTTCCAAAAATTCTTGTAAAATTTTAATCCAGAGAGGTATTTTTGTATATTTTATGTTAGCCAGTTATCTGGAATCCATTTAATGTCCAATCAGGCAGACTTACTTCGGAAATATTGAAAACTTTTCCTTGTTAGTTTTGAACTCATACTGTTAACCATTGTGTGCCTCAAAACTTCTGAATGTCCTTTACGTATCTGTATACAGTATACATAACTTGCCTATAATACTGCACCTTCCACGTGACTTACTGACTATGGATCTTATATAATCTCTGCTTTCCTGCTACAAGGTAGATTTCTCATTAGCAGTGATGCTGTTTACATCTTGCAATTTTTTTTTTACTCTGATTCTGAAATTTAAGCTAATATTTCTGTTCCTGTACCTTTTGCTGAATAATTATTTCAGCAGTCTTTCTTGAGTGTACAGGGAATTCTAGTCACTGCATTGTTGGTATTTATAGGTTAATGTATTCACACCATTCAGGCAGTCTTTTGAGGGTGTCCTTTGCAAGTATCACAGTTTCTTGGATGCTAATAGGATGGCTCACAACCCTCTTTCTTCTTTTCTTGTGGAGGAGAGGAGCAGGATTTCCCAGCCAGCCCTAGTCCTGATGAAGCTTTCATTGACATTGTTTTTATATTTTTCCCAGACATGTAACATTTTACATTGTTAACCTGTTTCTGTTACACCTGAGGGGTCCAGTGTGCTGCTACTGAATACCATTCTTGAATCCTTATTTTTTTTTCCTTCCCCCAACATTCAAGTTATAGTTGATGGTTTTTGAAATAAAGGTTCTTTGTACCATTCTTTTTGCCACATTTCTCTTTCTACTGACTTTTTCATTATTCATTTATGAACTCAAACTTTAGACACTCTTATCAGGTATGGAGGGGGGTTCTTCTGCCTTGTCTTGATGTCAATGCCACAGTTATGCTAATTTTGAGTCTTTCCTTATCTGATCAATCATTGGTTGTAAGCTATAATCATTCTCCTGATTCTTTTCTCAGGAGCAAGTCAGACTTGCATGTTTCTTGGGTTGCAGAACATATTTACTTGATCTCTTTTGTCAGAAGGCTAGCATGATAATCCTGAGTTGCTTACTCAGTCAGGGGAAGCTCATCAGGAAGAACCGATTAGGGCTGTAGCTTCAAGGTTAACCTCAGGTCATCATCTTTCTGATCAACATCTAAGTAATACTCATCATACTACTGCATTACTCATTGACCTTCTACATGTAACGTTTCTTGCTCCTTTAGTGTTAGGAAATGGTAATCCAAATAGTTTGGGCCATCTTAACCAAGACCCTGACTGTGCTCCATTTCTGTCCTTTTGTGGGATGACATTTGGGATTATGCATTTTTGTGTGGACTCCTTGACTTCAAGACTATTGGGTTCAACAGGTGCTTCATGTTGGTTTTTGTACCTAATTTCATCCACTTCCTCCTCCTCCTCCTCTTTTGGATCTTGCAGGCAATCCACTTCATGGTCACCATTTGAATCAGCATGTTACACAGGACTATTGAACTAGTACTTTTGGTTTTCCCTAGGATTCTATTCTCATCTTTTTTGTGGTCACCAGGGAAACAGGAAATTGGAGATCAGTATTAGATCTTTCCCATCTCAATCATTATCTCAACATTCCTTCTTTCATGATGCAACCAATTTGAATTTCACACAAGTTCCTTTAGCATGGTTGTTGGGTTATGAAAGTGGTTATTGAGAATACTTATTTAAACACATCAATTCACACGTCTTTGCATTAGTTTCTTCATCTTTTACATCAAAGAATTGTTTATCATTTCAAAACCCTGCCATTTAACTTTTGGTATTCAGTTTATAAATAAATCGTTCTTGTTCCGATAAATTAATGAAATTGTTTTCTCTGGGGAATCACTGTTGTCACCAGAGGAATTCATCCAGGATAACTGTATTCTTTAAAAAATGTTGTATTTACATAAACTTACAAGCTGTTAGACACAAGTAATGGTATAGAATGAAATTTATTTTTCTCTCAGTATTAACATCTTCATGAAACTAAGGAATACCTAAATTTTATTCATATGCTAATTTTTTTAGTATAATTGATGCAGTTTGTATTTAAAATTGTTTTGCAAAATTATTATCATAAGTGAGATACTACAACTCTGAACCTCCACCATTTTATTTGATATTATAAATGATGTTAAGCAAAAATAAAAGACCCTTACTATTTATAATATCAAATAAAAGGATGGAGGTTGGGAGCTCTCTAGAAATTAAGGTTGGCTTAGTTCTACTGTAATAATATTATATTATCATTTATAACATCAGATAAATGGTGGAGATTGGGAGTTTTACTTTGTAGAAGTTTTATAGGGTTGGTTTAATTCTACATTAAAGTTATTTCTAAATATTAAGGGTAACTGCCTTCCCACAACTGGCTGCAGACAGCGAAAGGTAGTTGGAGTTGAGACATTGTGGGTTCAAGTACTTAACTCCTGACCCTTAACTGATTCTTCTTAGTTGCTGGCAAGTTTTACATCAGAAGTTGGATTTTGCCTGATAGAAAATGAAAGCCAAAAAACCTATAACTAAACACATTAAATATTTTAATTAAACTAAATGATTTAAACTGTTGTCTGTGTTCCTACAAACAGATGAACAATATATTCCTGGTTTGACTGACACGACCATCCCTCGTTGTCTTGGTCCTAAGAGAGAAAACTCTTCAATCTTGCAAAAGAAGATGATGTTTGTCAGTATGTGATAAGGAAACGTCTGCTCCAGGAAGAGGGTTTGTCACACTTACTCATCATTTTCGTGAGAAGATATAAATAATGGCTAAAAGCAGCTGAAAATGTAAGTACATGCAAAGAAGTTGGATGACAGCAGAGCTTAAACTTTCCTCACTTGTGTCCCACTGGAATCTGCAGAAAATATTCACTTCTATTTGAGGAACATAATAGTAAAAAAAAAAAAAAAAAAAGCTCTCATAAAAGACTTTTGAGCCAAATATAACAATACCTTTTATAATTAATATTCTCATTCTGAAAAATACAATTAAGTATGTTAAATTAGAAAAGTAAATGTAAGAACGTGATCCTTAACTGGAGGATTTTTT